CAAGATGGTCAGGCAACCTCTGGACTTCTGCAGAGGGCTCCAGAGAAAGCTTTTCTTGCTGATTTTGTCTTTTAGTCCCTGCTACCCGGGCCCCTCAGGTTTGGGTCTGGCACCTTGGAGACAGAGTCAGAGCTGAGGCATGAAAATAAATCACGTCTTTGACCCTGAGGCGAGTGCACAAAGAGAGACTCCAGCCTCTGTTTAGCAGAAGAGCCTGGCGCTCCCATGACGTTGCCCTCAAGCCTTTGTCCTGCAGTGGGGGCAAGGACTCCTGCCCAGCTCACCATCCTAGATGCTGCATGAAGAGCTCTACGTTTTATCCTTTCTCCTCTCCCCTCTCCTCACTTCTCCTCTTCTCTGTTTTTTGAGACAGACTATCACTTTTTTGCCTGGGCGAGTGGCATCATCATACTCATAGGAGCCTCCAATTCTTGGAGTCAAGCAGTCTTCTTGTCTCAGCCTTCCGAGTAGCTGGGACTACAGGTGTGTGCCACCATGCCCAACTAATCTTTTTTTTATTTTTAGTAGAGATCGGGTCTCGCTATTGCCCAAGCTATTCTCGAGCTCCTGGCCTCCTAAAGTGTTGGGATTACAGGTGTGTGCCACTGCACACTGCCCTTCCTGTGTTTTCTTCTCCTCTTCTTTCCTCCAAAGAATTTTTTAAAAACTCCCTCCTCCCCAGAATAGCTTGTGATTAAGGGAAAAATTAAATCTCCATTGGAGCATAAAGTTCCCTTTTCATGTCTACCAAAAGGCCAGAGTCACTTAGATGTGAAATGTTGCTTGCAGCTCTGAGATCTTTGGGCCAGAACCTCTTACTGCCCCCTCCTGTGTTCAGACCCTCCCCTGGTCCTTCAGCAGGTGAGTGTCTGTCTCAAGTGCTGGCTGGGCAGGCAGGTAGGCTTTGCTTGCTGAATCTGCCCATCCCATAGAGACTAGCTAGGCTCTGTCTTGTGGGAGGAAAAGGGCAGCTGTGCTGGGAGTGTGGGTTGGCGAGAAGCTAAAGTGGCCCCATGGGCTCAGTTTTCTGATCATACAGCCAGTAGGTGCTTCTTCCCTGGCAAAGGATGTCTGAGCAGGCATCTGACCAGGGGGGCCAGCTACTGGGTCAGTGGACAGTAAATACTTTCTAAATGTTTACATCTATATTAGTGCCCAGCCAGGTAAAGCTGCTGCTACATTACCCTGGGTTCCCTGTACTTGAAGTATTTTGTGTTTTCAGTGTTTTGAAGTTGCTGCAGATAAATTTAAGGAGTGTAGCGAAGGTTGGAATAATTGTTCGTCTGTCTTGTTAAAGTGATTCCACAACAGGAGCACTCCTCAGGCACAATGAGGCAGTTCCCATCACTGCTCTTTTCTGGATTTGGGTGTTTGGGGTGGCAGGCATTAGAATTTGGGAAAGATTGGCCAGGTGTGGCAGCTTCTACCTGTAATGCCAACACTTTGGAGGGGCTAAGGCGGGAGGATCTCTTGAGTCTGGTCTGGGCAACATAGCAAGACAGCATCTCTACAAAAGGAAAAAGAGAGAGAGTTAAAAGACATTGGGAGAGATCCTCAGAGACAGGCAGGATTTTGTAGATCCCCCATAGGATCCAAGATGTGTTATTTTCACGTCTTTGTGCAGAGGGCACAGTGGTTAAGGATGCGCTGACTTCAGTGTCATTTAAACTTGGCCTTCAGCTCATGAATAATTCAGTTTTTAGCTTTGCTGCTTGCTGGCTGTGGATCACATTTCCTAATCTGTGACCCCCAATGTCCTTATCTATTAAATGGGGATCGATGTCCCATCTTCTCTTAAAGGAATTTGCAAATGAATGTCAAGTGCTTAGCAGGGTCTGCACGTGGCAGGTGCCAGTGGCTGCCCATCATCTCTTTGCCTCTCTCTCTTCCTCCAAATCCATGCAGACTTCCTCGCCCCTGTGTTGACAGCACAACACAGCTCACCATCTGCTCAGGTGGATGACCACTTTCCTTGTCCAAGCTCCACCCTGCTCACTATTAATTTAACTTCTGGTTCTTGGTGGGGATCTGAGAATTTCGAGTCTCAAAATAACACCTTCACAGATGGTCATTTTTGCTGATGCCTAGTCCATCCATGTGCGTGATTCAGTGTACTCTGTTAAATGATAGTTTTTGTACCCGGATTCTGTGCCCCATATGTGGAACGTCCCCGGGCATGTTTCAGCAGGGGACCTAACGCGATGTGTGAACCCCAGGCCTGCATTCACAGTAGTTTTAAGTGAAGGTAAAGTTAGTCATAGGCTATTCCTAACTGTTCCGTTAGCAGCTTGACATTTGGGCTGAGAGGGAGTCAAAATTGGGGAGATAATAATAACCACATCTCACTGAGCACTTTCTATAATTCAGGTCTTAGCGAGGCCTTGCCATAACGTATGCCACTGAATTTTCTTCACAGTAACCCAGTGGTGTGGGTATCAGTTTTATAGATGAGCAAATTGAGGTAGGCGAGGCTGAGTAACTTGTGTGTGGTCACGGATCTGGTAAGTAGCTGTGTGGAAGTTCTAGCCACAGGTAAGGCAATGGTAAGCTGTGTCGCTGCTCTGGGCAGTTCTAGAATGTTGACCCTGGTTAAATAACTTACTGGAGATCATGCTGCCAGGGAGTGGCAGAGCCAGGATCCAGGCACACTTGATTTGCTTTTGCTCCTTTGCCACAAAAACAGGCCCTGGGGTGGGGAGTGGCACATTGTGTGTGAGGTGAGTATCTGGGGAGGAGACAGCCCAGTGACCGGGCACTTTGGGTCTGGAGGAGGGAGGCTCATATCCCCCTCCTGGTATTGCTTAGGTCACTAATTAAATTGTAACCATGCTAAGGGAAGTGATTAACAAAAGGAAAATCATCAGTCCTGCTACCTTAAGCTTTCATTTTTCTGTTCTGCTACATAATTGTTCTACTTTTTTACTTAATATGCCTATGACTCAGCTCAGCACCTGTAGCTCAGGCGGCTAAGGCACCAGCCACATACATCAGAGCTGGCAGGTTCGAATCTAGCCCGGGCCTGCCAAACAACGACAACTACAACCAAAAAATAGCCGGGCATTGTGGTGGGCACCTGTAGTCCCAGCTACTTGGGAGGCTAAGGCAAGAGAATCGCTTAAGCCTAGGAGTTGGAGGTTGTTGTGAGCTGTGATGCCAGGGCAACAGCTTGAGGCTCTGTCTCAAAAAAAAAAAAAGCCTATGTTATTTTTCATAACTGCATAATATTCTGTGAAATTGGTGTAATTTACTTGACTATAACACATATTCTGCATATAGCCTTTTTAAGATTACTTATAGTAAGATAAATTTTAGAAGTAGAATTATTATTATTATTATTATTACCTGTAAGGATCACACCTAGGCATGGGAGTAGAGTTTTTGCTTTTTTTTTTTCAAGAGCTAAAGTCTCACTATGTTGCCCAGGCTGGAGTGCAGTGGCACAATCATAGTTCATTGTAACCTCAATCTTCTGGGCTCTATTGATCCTCCTGCCTTTGCCTCCTGAGTAGCTAGGACTTACCCATCACGCTTAGCTAACTTTAAGAAATTGTAGAGGCTCGGTGCCCATAGCTCAGTGGTTAGGGTGTCAGCCACATGCACTGGGGCTGGTGGGTTCAAACCTTGGCCAGGCCTGCTAAATAACGACAACAACAACAAAAAAATAGCTGGGCATTGTGGTGGGTACCTGTAGTCCCAGCTACTCTGGAGGCTGAGGCAGGAGAATCGCTTAAGCCCAAGAGGTTGAGGTTGCTGTGAGATGTGACACCACTACACTCTACCAAGGATGACATAAGACTCTGTCAAAAAAAAAAAAAATTGTAGGGATGGAGGCTTGCTTAAAATAAAAAAATCTATTTTGTTATTTTAATAAGTAGCAAAGTAGGACCAGCCAAGTTTTAAATTTTTTTTTTTTTTTTTTTTTTTGAGGCAGGGTCTTACTCTGTCACTAGGCTGGAGTGCAGTGGCATCATCATAGCTCCCTGCAACCTCAAACTCCGGGGCTTAGACAATCCTCCTGCCTCAGCCTTCAGAGTATCTGGGACTACAGGTTTATGCCACCATGCGCAGCTGAATTTTCTGTTTTTTGTAGAGATAGGATCTTTCTCTTGCTCAGGCTGGTCTTGAACTCATCTCAAGCCATCTTCCCACCTCAGCGTGTAAGAGTGCTAGGATTATAGGCATGAGTTACCACACCTGGACTGTAGT